ATATTTAGAGCAGTAATCACAATACTTTTAAACTGTGCTATTTTTATACAAGTTTATCATACATCAGAAAAATATACTGACCCATGCCTAGAACGTAGACACTTATAATCAATAGTACGAAAAAAATCTATTGGTTTCCAACATGTTTCAAAATATCTTCTTTTTGTGTGCAACTGAAAAAAAATGTTTCTAACAAGTAAAGGTTGAGTAAACGATGGCAGAATTTTATTTTAGGAACTATCACCTACTTCATTTTAGTGAAACATGACCTTATTTCGAATTCTCTGCATGACAAACACAATGATGCAACATTTTATCTACATAAAACAGGGGTTACCAAACTTTTCAGCCAGCGTCCCCCAAAATAACAAAGCCTGCAACATTGAGGTCAAGTAGGTTTTATATTCGCACATTCTGACTTCTCCTTAATATTATAATTTTACAAAAATATTCTTTGCAAAATCTAAATGGTAATATCATATTAGCAGCCAAAGACTATCAAGAAACAACATTGTTCAAAGTCATATAAATAGTGCTAATGTTGTTTTCAAGTAATAATTGCATGTGATTTCAGACCGAATATTAAAATTTTGATGGTAAACACTATAGGGAGCATGTCACAACAAGTTGACACTTTCCCTCAATGCTCATGATCCCCAGATTCATCGGAGGTGGTTATAAATATACAAACGTTGTACACACAACAATAGGCCTTGTTAAACACGAGCATATTGACAACACAAAAAACTGCAACAGTCTAACAACCATAGGCTATAATTTATATGGTCATTTATGAATGTGTTTAATACTAACCTCACCTAATGAGACCGGTGTTTTTAAGCACAAGTCTGTTCTTGGTTTAATTTTGGAGACCAGCCTGTCAGTAGCCTGTATATATTTTAATGTATTCAATTGCCACAAAATTGTCAGAGTCAGAGATATGTCAAGATCAAGGTGGTGATATGAAATCAATCTGCTGCAGCTGATGCTATTACTGTTGTGTTCATCTAAAATAAACGCACCAATCCAACAAGAAAAAATTAAAAGGCTGATGGCTTTTTATTTGCATGTTGTTGCTTTTTTATGTAACAATAACCTACTATTTTTATCTTCTGTGGGTTATGGTTAATTACGGTAATTCTAATAGAAGGTTTCACCAAGTTAAATTGTAGACTTTAAGACATTTTTAAGACCATTATGAATGAAATTTTCTCTAGCCCTATCAAAAATGATGAAAATTGTATACATTTAAACATACAATAATAATAATTGTGTTTTATTATTTTTGTATTAATTGTCAAATCTATCCATTCACAAACCCTATAACCCTTACCAAGAACAGAACAAAACATAGCTGTCAATTACTTCAGTCTATAGTAATAAATAATAATAGAAATATGTAGGCCAGGTCAGTATCCTCAGCAGTAAATAAATGGAGAACTTTTAATCAAATGTATGTTACTGTAAAGAAAGTAATTAAATGCTATTTTTAAATTAAAAGTTTACGTTTAATTGATGTGGATTGTTGGTGATTGCATTGATGTTAATGGCTAGATCGGTTAACTATACATGAACAAAGAAAATTAAGACCTGTTAAAATAGATTTGAGACCTACAAAACACAACATTTCAGTAGATTTAAGACTGTTTAGGGGCTAAAATTTTGCTTTTGACAATTAAGACTTTGCGGATATCCTGTAAGAGTTTAATAAATTTATTTGACTTTTGGAAATCCGCAAGCGACACCCTGTCATTGTCCGGCGAACCCCACTTTGAGAACCACTGACATAAAACATGCATCAACATCAGAGCCACTAATACCAGGAGTCAATCTGTAGCAGAAATGCTCCATTGAGGCTTCGGGTTTACCGGTGTAAACAAGCCTTCGTAAAAAGTATCTTCGTCTTCATCATCACGAAGAAAAAACCCACAAATCAGCCGCACCTGTTCCCATCACAACAGCACAGCCTCGTCAATCACAACACTTGTGCCTGCTGCTGCTGACGTACATCCACAATCCCTTCAAAATAAGCCTGCGTTTAAACCGTGAACCCTGCATATCAATCTCACATCAGCTGCCGTGTCTCTCTAAAACCCCGAACCAATGGGCAAAAGCGCTCGGTGTGTTTTGGTTGTGTTTCAGAGGTCAAAAACGCGACGGGAGCGCAGGCCTCATATCGCTGCATTTAAGTCCGTCGTGCAAAACTCACCCATCTTTCCTCTTCGCTTTGTACACATGGCCATAAGTCCCCCGTCCAACTTTACATCCTTCGTACTCAAAGAGGTCCTCGACTCGTTCTCTCTCCCCGGTGAGCTTCACTTTGAAGTCATAGTCCATTTTCGGCGTGATTCTGGGGATCCGGGCTGTGGCTTCCCTTTAAAGCGCCGCTGGGGAGGCAACTTACTTCAAGCCCCGTTTAGACAATTAGTTGCCTTCCCTCGCGTCGCTCTGAGCTCGATTAAAGAGTCCTCATTTACCGCGAGCGATCACGGGCGGCTGAAACGACGTGTAGAGCGAGTGTGCTTTTGATCCGACACAAAGTGCAGAGTGTTATTGGACTAACAGTCGCTTTCTTTGATATTTCTGTGCAACTGCGCCGCTCAGCCGGTATCTCACCCGGGAGAGTTGAGCGTCCACGTACGGCAGTGTCGCAAAGCGTCGTGAAACCGTTCCCAAGCCCACAGACGTCGAGGCTTTGTGGCGCACCACGTGGATTTTAACCCTTTGTTTAGGAATGGATTTGTTTTTCAGTTTTATAGCATGTTTTGCATTTTAACCCTCTATGGCATGATTTTTAGTTTTAGGAGGGAAAAATGGTTTACCCTTATTTTTGGGTGCTTGGGGTCCCTTGTAATAAATCAATCATAAAATGTGCCCCCCTACATTTGTTTTGCATGTTCTCCCCATGTTTATGTGGGTTTCCTCCAGGTGCTCCAGCTTCCCCAACAGTCTGAATACATGCACTATAGTTGAATTGAAAAAGCTAAATTGGCCGTAGTATAAGTGTATGAATGCATGAGTATATGGGTTTTTCCCGGTGTTGAGTTGCGGCTGGAAGAGCGTCTGCTATGTAAAACATATGCTGGATAAGTTGTTGGTTCATTCCACTGTGGCGACCCCTGAATAATAAAGGTTCAAATTAATTAATAAAAAAATTATTTAATAAATCTCAACAAGTAATATTTCATCAATATCTAGCCATAAATGGTGTAATGTGTGTTCTTGTGGGGTACTGATTGAATGTACTTATTTACCAATGTTTATTATTCACTGTGGAACCTTAGTGCAGTGGTTGGTGCATGTGAAGCAAAGGGGACATAAGAGTGACAATAAGAGTGTCTTATAGACTATTTGAAAACAGCATAATTAAACAATTAAAAATTTCCCTAAGCTGATTTATCATATAGTAATTATAATGTAAACTGCCTCACCATAATCAATATAACAAATATTGAAAAAAACATATTGCAAGTAACTTTTAAAAATCATGTTTAATTGCAAAGGTAGATATAAACATCATTGCAAATAAAACGCACCCTCAATCAAAAACGTACTGTTTAAAAAATTACATAAAAATGGTAAAATAATGATTAAATTTTTCTGCATTAGGAGTGAAATTATCTTTGTGATCCAAACCATGAATATATGCAGAAAGAACCTAATAATAAGTTTAATAATACTGATATTACTATACTACTACTTACTAATAATTTAAAGAATAATAATAGCTTAATACTAATTTGCAAAAAAGGCTAAAAGGCATTTCCAAACATCAAATCATCAGTTGAGATGAAATTATCTTTGTGATGCAAACCCTAAATATATTTAGAAAGAACCTAATAATAACTTTATTATTACTGATGCTACCACTACTACTAGTAGTAATCTTAATAATAATAGCTAAATACTAATTTGAAAAAAGTCTAAAAGGCATTCCAAACATCAAATCAATGAGTGTGATACAGCTTTAAATTGTATTTTTGTACAGCAGAATGTGTCATGTTTAACTATATTTCTTTTGAGCAAAAACAAAACAATAAAAGCGATGACTATTATTTATACTTAGTCTATCATGATTTACAGAAGACACACACTAAAACGTAACTCGTTGTATAATAGTTTATATACACATACTGTATATTGGCAGGCATATTTACAGCAAAAATCATTTAATGGCATAATAAAATACTAATAAAGTTCAAAGTGTAGTGTGATCCCTGCTGAAAAATCCAGCTTAAACCAGCCTAGGCTGGTTGGCTGGTTTTAGAGGGTTTTTGGCCACTTCCAGGCTGGTTTCCAGCCATTTCCAACCTGGTCTTAGCTGGTCAGGCTGGGAGATGACCAGCTAAAACCAGCTTGACCAGCCTAGCCAGGCTGAAAGTCCAGCCAAAACCAGCTATATCCAGCGTAAATAAGGCTGGTCAAGCTGGTTTTAGCTGGATTTGGCTGGTCATTTTCCAGCCTGACCAGCTAAGACCAGGCTGAAAATGGCTGGAAACCAGCCTGGAAATAATGGCCAAAACCCCTCTAAAACCAGGTTGGTCAACCAGCTAAAACCAGCCAACCAACCTAGGCTGGTTTAAGCTAGATTTTTCAGCAGGGATAGCACCTTTTTTTTATATCTTTAGCCCTGTCACTACCCAGCAAACGATTTTGTAGATGTCTAATAGACATCTAAACACTGACAGCTTGGCTAAAACAAGGCTAAATTTGGGCTATCAGTGAAAATCTAATAGACATCTAAGAAGAGCCCAAAATTAGAGTAGTCGTCAAATAGACCGATTAGACAGACTTTACATGTGTAGTCATTCATTCTCACTAGTTTTAACCTATTCATAGACATCTAGATTTTCACTGACAGCTCAAGTTTAGCCTTGTTTTAACCAAGACAACTTTGTTAAGACGTCTATTAAACATCTAGTAGACGTTGTTTAAAAACAAAAAAAATGTTTGCTGGGTATCCTTCAAAACACAACTCTTTTAAAGTAGGCCACATTAACATTTACCGTAATCACATGATATCATTTCATAAGTACAGGCTGGAGAAAGAATGTTGTTTCATTATTGTAGATGTAACATTATTTCACTCGCATTTTGTTTTCACAACAGTTATTCAAACTTTAAAAAATGTTATTACAAAACACGTTACAGTGTTATTATGGGTGTATTACAGTGGAACTGTTTTAGCACACGTGGTAGTTGTCCGGACAGTTGTTTGTGTGGCTCCGTTGGTCCCATCTTGGCTACATTGTAATCAGAGCGCAGAGGAAAGAGAACTCGTCCATATTACAGCTGCTGTTTCAGGTACTTACATATCTATTATGAGCTTCATTTCTTGATTTCGTCATCATTTTGGATAGCGTTTTCACATTTCATTTTTTGTGTTACATTCTCGTGCCAATGACATTTTTCCTCATCTTGTCAAAATAATGATCTAAACCTTTCATTGGCCCACAGTTAGCCTGTCAGCAATCTGTCGACACCACCAAATGTGTTGCGCATTTAAAATGACAGCTCGCCCCGCCGCGTGACTCGCGTTTGCCTGATGACAGACGACGGTGACAGTTTAATGACAAATTCCAGATGTAAATTTCACCATGTGGGGAGTGCTAGCATTGGCTTTTTATTGTCTGGGATAGGTTGCTAGCTGACATGGAGCCCGACTTTTTCTTTGTCACGGCCCTCCTCTGATCGATGCTGAGTGGTCAGTCTTGCCGTCAGTCATTGTTGCTCGGAAGCTGATTGGTTGTGAGGCTGACAGCGTCAGGTTTGGTGCTTGACTTATTCTGCGGTGCTGTCTGTGGCCTACAGATCAGCAATAGTGTATGAAATAACTGGCGTGTTATTTATATGAATTGATTTGACGATGTTGTCAACCTCATGTTGCTCTCGTTGGGGTTCGACGTGTGTCAAAGCTGTTTTGCTTACACGTTAAGGATTTACCGGTTGCCTTTTTGAGGCGTTCATTTTGTCGTGCTGTCTTATAATGGTGGCTCTGTTTTAGACTCAAGTTATTGTCTCAGATTTATTATGTATATCTGTGATGATTTGAAAGCACATTTTCTTGCTTATCTCACATCATTGATTTATATGTAGAGCTGGCTTCTACATTTCATAGGTATAAATAAAGCTTTAGCTCTAGTGTTATATTTATATTGCTGTTTTCATTGATAAAGAGTAGCTGACATGTTTTACTTCAGGAAAGTCATTAGTCCTACGATGTGATTCTCTGACGAAATCCTTTTCAAGCAGCATTTTTGTAAATTTATTAATTATTTTGCAATCTCGATAATTATTTTCCATATTGAACGATTTCGATCCAAGTTGTTATAATGCTTTAACTTTGAAAAGAGTACCTCAACAATGACTAAAGCCACAAAAATTAAAGGGTTCATTAAATGGCATAACATATTTTCCGCCTATTATTTTTTTGGCCAAAATTTTGGTACATCTCTAAAATAAACACTGTAAGATTCGCATTGTTGCACATTTATTCTAAGTGATTGGCTCCTAGATCAATATAGAGTAAAAAAGTCCAGAGCTTATCATTGTTATTGACATACATTTTATCGTGATTCGTTATAATAGTGTTTATCAGCCCAGCCCTAAATTTATGACCTAATTAGGCATGGGTCGGTATACGATTCTGACGATATGATAACCTTGGATAGAAATATCACGGTTTGATGGTATTATGATTGCTGCTTAAAAATATGTTCTTTTTAAATGTCTGGGTAAAAACAGGGTTTCTGCAGGTTTCATCACGTCAAGACTTTTTACGACCTTTTTAAGACCATTATCAATGAAATTTCAGACTATCACAGGGTAAACGCTAATAATTTTCCTGTGGATTTATTTTACTTGCCCAATTAAAATTTAAATTCAGTTATTTCTTAGACACATATTTTAAATAATGTGTCAAAACAAGCAAACTCTAGTTATATACGTATCTTTATTAGCACAACCTTTCTTTAAAAAAAAGACACGTTTAAAAGCTATAATAAACACAATTTATGTACAACATAAATTAATGCACAGCATAATTTTTTATGTTATTTTGTTTCCTAATATTCTATAAAATGTTTTTAGAATTCTGAGGTTTAAATCGAGTTTAATATTTAGGGTGTTTTTAGGGGTAACTACACCTTTTAACTTTTAGATTATTTTAAAATGCTATCTAAAAATGTTAAAAATTTTTAGTGTCATTTATTTAATCAACACTCACATTGAGATACTAATCTAAAAGTCTTCTGAAAATCAAAAGCAGAACAGAACATTTTTCACAAATGCAATGTATCATAAATATTATTAAATATTACAGACAATCAGAATGTCTCAAAGTTTTAAAAGCTATAATAAACAACATTTATGCACAACATAAGTTTGTGCATAAAACATGAAAACATGGAGAACTGTTAAACAAATGTTATGGTAAGGAAGACAATTAAACCATATTGCTAAATAAATAATAAATGTTAATTTTGTAAAAAAAAAAAAAAAAAAATTAGATGGATTTGTTGGTTGTACTGATTATAGCTATTGTAAAAATTATGACCTGTTTAAAAATAAGACCCACAACAGCATATGTCAGTGAATTGTTTAAGGTCTTAAATTTAGTTTTTTTAAATTGAAGACATTTTTAAACCCTGCGGACACCCTGAAAAAACTACAACTTTTTTCCCCTTTGAACACAATATATTTCATTTTGAGAAACATTTAAAATATTTTGGAGAAGTAAACATGTCAGGCTGCTCTCTTCATTAGTTTTAAAAACACAGATTTCTTTACCATTTAAAATAGCATCTTTTGATATTTTTTTCTGCTGGAGAGATACTGTTTTCCTAAAAAGCTGAAAAAAAGTAAATAAAAAATCATACACATACCTTTACCTTAGGAACGGTATAGCAGAAAATGTAGGTGGCTTTAAAACCTTGACTTTTCCAAAGCGCATTATACATTGAAAACGGTTATCGTCCCATGCCTAGACCTAATATTTATAGACTATATGTCAATGTATTTTTAAAATTAATTTGTCATTGCAGAATCATAAATTGAAATGAAAATTGATTCCAATAATGACCTGTTACAGCACCAAAAGTGTTAAGCATTCTCCTGTAAACTTTAATAACAATGTTCTTAAATTAAATAAAAGTTTATAAAGATGGTCGGCGCAATAGCCTAGTGGTTAGCGCGTTAACATATGGTGCAGTAGCACTTCAGGGCATCCTGTGTTCGAATCCTGGCTCGAGGACATTTTCCAACCCCCCCCCTCTCACTTCGCTTTCTGTCTCATTACTGTCCTATCGAATAAAGGCCGATCATAAATAAAAAAAAGAAGTGTATAGAGATATTATGCATCAGCTACTCAGTTACCCAAAGCACAAAATTGATTTTTAACAATAACTGATAAACCTTTAAAGACAGACGTGTTGCGACGTCAGAGGCTGTTAATTGATTGTCTGTGCTTTTGTTGAACCCATCTGCTTGCAGAAAACAAAATTCCTCATAAAACTGTAGACAAAACTCCACCTATCAGAAAGTTGCAGTGAGCAGCAAAGCACAACAAAAGAGATCTTTTGCTCCACCCACAACCATTAGGCACATAATATAGACCCTTTTCACATTTCCAGGTTTCTCAGTAGCGGAAGGCGTCATATTTGGGTAAACGTAGAGGGCAATGAATCAGAGAGGACAACAATTTTTTTTTTTTTTACAATCCTATTTGCTGATTTGAAATAATAAAAGAAAGTCTCCTCGATGGTGTTATCAAGACTTTCAGAAAAAGGAAAAAATTGTGTGAGGCTGATGATGACAGCTAGGGGAGAGAATAATGTCAAATTTATTCTTAGCCCTAAAGACGCTGCATCGCATAAGCGATAATTTGTTTTTAAAAATTTAATGCAAATATGTTATAATACATACATAAATGCATATAAATGTTCATACATTTAAAAAAATATTTCTTTATTAAAAACGTTCAAGATTTAAGATTAAATGTATCATAACAGATTGTGATGTGTGAACATTCATATTGTTTGAACAGACTTGAAGCTCTTTAACAATGACAGTAGTAAAAAAAACTTGTAGAGATTCCAGCTGATTCCACCTGAATCCAGCACTGCTGATGACGTTGGAGCATTAATGTACATGTATTAGGTTTTTATTAGATTCACTATTAAATAATAATATCTACAGAATGGAATTAATCTCTTCCAAATCACCAAGGATGCAGTCTATCTGTAGCTATCTGTTTAACACTTAGTAATTTTTTGTTGTTGTTATCGTTTTGGTAACATTTGTAAACAGCGGTTTCTGTGGTGATGGACCCTCCCGGCGGCCGAGACGAGCGTCATCGTCAAGCAGAGCGGCTTCGGCGGGAGGAGGCATACTATCACTTCATTAATGAACTGAGTGAGGAGGAGTACAGACTAATGAGAGACAGCAATTTACTGGGAACGCCTGGTAAGAATGCTGAAATCTGGCTAAATGAATTCACATGATATACACATTGATCTGTGGCACATAGTCGAATTAAAATGTCTAGAAAATTGAATGGTCTTTATTGCATTATTTTTATTTTGATATTTTAATTATTATTATTAGTATTATTCTGTGCAATGTTTTACTCTTTCACATAAAAATAAAAATTCCCAAGCTTACGCTTAACTCAATGAACAATAGGGTTGGATCTTTTATAAGGCATGTTTTTGTTTGGTCACAGGTGAAGTCACAGCAGAAGAGCTGAGGCAACGTCTGGATGGTGCAAAGGAGAGAGTGTCATCTCAGCCACGCCCTGAACCACGCCCACAGAGCAGTGAGGCAGAGGGCAGTAGTGGTAAGAACACAGATGAGAGCTACTAAATTCATTTCCTCAGCTTTACTGAAGCTTGTTCTTTGAATTACCAGCTGATTTGTATAAAATGAACGCCTCATAGACAGAGTCACAATGCATTACAAATAGGGTTGGGCATCTAAGCTATAATGCTGATCCAGTGCAGGAAGCCGGGGATGCAGGAACACTGGAAAATGCTTCCACAACAACACCGTGGCGTTGCTTCAAGTGAGATTTCAGATAAGTCGTACTGCCCATGTATTTTACAGATGCGCGACACATTTTGCAAATGGCATCTGTCCTGTCAAGTCAACCATCCTTAAATCCATAATGTTGCCATACTTTAGATTTAGAACTCAGTGGGGAATAAAATGTTTGTTTTGCTTTTCGCGCTTTCTGAGGGCGCACCACTAGCTTTCTCCGCACACCTGATACACTGAGTTGTAGTGTAAGTGTACACATCCGCAAGTCCGTTGCTAAGGCATACTTTATGTAGGTCGATTAAATTATGCGCCAAAAACAGGTTGACAACACTTGCTAATAAATAAAAAATACATTCTATATTAAAAATATAAGTTGTATCTTGGAAAAATCGATGCATCTCGCAAAAACCGATGCATTTCGATTTGCTTCCAAAATTTCATTCATCCTCTGCTGCTCTACCGATGCACTCGCATCGTGCACGCGCATGACCGCGTATCGATACATATCGGTTAATCTTCCCATCCCTAATTACAAAACAATGCAGAATGCATCATAGTTTAAAGTGTTCTCAATTTCATGTGAATCATTCTGTATGCTTTCAAGTATTATTTATTATTTAAATCTTGCATTTTTGTTTTTGTTTACACTTTTGTAAATGTATATTTCCATAATAATGTTTGAATGTGTTAAACAGATAACATGCCCATAGACATAATAATTGGAATTAAATACATTGTACAAATAGAAACCAAATTGTCGTGAATTGTTTCATTACTTATCCTTAAATTCAGCAATGATGATTTTAAATTGCTTGAATTCAAAGTTGATGTTCTTTCCAAATTGTGTTCTTTTGCAGGTGTGGTCGAGCCAGGTTCCGAGACATCTAATGGAGACTCCCTGCTGGAGTGGTTGAACACATTCCGGCGCACAGGAAATGCCACACGTAGCGGGCAGAGCGGAAACCAAACTTGGCGTGCCGTCAGCCGCACCAACCCCAACAGTGGCGAGTTCCGCTTTAGTCTGGAGATTAACATCAACCACGAGCAGCCCGAGCCTGGTGAACACAGCGACACCCCTGACCCAACTGATCTTCCAATGCCTCCCCCTCCTCCTCCTCCCCCTCCCCCTCCTCCTCCTCCTCCAGTGCAATCTGCCTCTCCACCCACAACCCCTTACAACCCTTCAAGGGCTGCACCCTACTCACTTCAACACCCCACGCCGTACTCCACGAGCAGACCCACCCTGGGAAGAAGAGGCGCAGTGCGCCGCACTCGCAGTAGCACCACTCCGCCTGTAATGCCCCCTATGACCTCACAGGCTCCTCCCATGCCTCTGAGAAGGAACTTGCCTACTTTGCCAAGCTCTCCACCTCCACAGGCTCCACTTGCTTTTCAGTCACAGGAGACGGATGGTGGTGCTGTTCGGAGTCAAATACAGGTCACGACCTCCTCAGTCAATACAGGAGTGGAGCAGAATGGAAGTGAAGGCCCAGACTGCCCTAATGTTCAGCCTCAGTCTGACCCCCAGGTGGCGCCAGCTGCCCGTGAGCCACGAAACAGTAGGACTCGTTCACGTGGTCGTGTGCGCCGGGCAGCAGGTGCCGGAGGGGCTTTATCTCGTTCTTCGAGAAGAAGCCGCTCGCCTCTGGACAGAAACACCGCCTCCAGTGTTAGTCCCACCCACAGCAGCAGCAGCAGCACCCCCCCAGTGGAGTCTGCTGGGAGTACAGCTGTTAGTATGGAGATGGGCCAACCCACCGCAGAGCCAACTGCTCCTACAGATCCTCCAGAGGCAGGTGAGGAAGAGGGAGAGACGCCTGTATCAGGTGCTGGAGGTGTTCGTCGTCACCCCACAATCATGCTGGACCTGCAAGTGCGGCGCATCAGGCCAGGAGAGAACCGGGACAGAGACAGCATCGCCAGCCGCACGCGCTCTCGTGCTCGGGCTGCTGAAAACACAGTCACCTTCGAAAGCGACAGCGGTGGCTTCCGGAGAACAATCTCACGCTCAGAGCGTGCGGGTATTCGCACTTACGTCAGCACTATACGCATCCCATTGCGGCGCATTTCTGAGACAGGCCTCGGCGAGCCCAGCTCCATGGCATTGCGATCTATTCTTCGCCAGATTATGACCGGCTTTGGTGAGCTCAGCTCCCTCATGGAGACGGAAGCAGATTCAGAGACTGCGACGCCCAGCCAGGACTCTGCTCCCGCTGCTGGAGCCCAGACATATCGCGCTGCTGGTGCAGAGGGTGGAGCCACCCATGGCGGAGTTGAATCAGCACGGGAAACTTTAGGGGAGGGTGAGGAGGAAGGACAAGTGCGGGTGAGCAGGACTGGGCCGGAGGGACGACCTAGCAGCAGAGACACTAACAACCTAGTGGAAAATGGCACATTGCCCATCCTAAGGCTTGCACACTTTTTTCTTCTCAATGAAGATGAAGATGAGGAGCACCCACGGGGCCTCACCAAAGAACAGATCGACAATCTGGTCACACGCACTTACGGTCAGGTCAACCTGGAGGGTGAGCAGGGCCGCGCTTGCAGCGTTTGCATCAATGAGTACGCGCAGGGCAACAAGCTGCGCCGCTTACCATGCGCCCACGAGTTCCACATCCACTGCATCGACCGCTGGCTCTCTGAAAACAACACCTGCCCCATCTGCAGGCAGCCCATCCTGTCCAGCCATCAGGAATGATGTCAGGCTGTAGCTATCAATCAACAGACTGAACCAGTGACTTTTATTCTGCCGTCGGTGGCAGCTGTACATAGTGCTTCAATGTTTTCATTCTCTGAGATCCATTGTATTCAAGCTAAAGGTAGAACCAAAAGCAGAAAAAGACTATAATGCAGAGATTTAACAAAGCTTTATTTTTTTAGACTCCTTTTGTTTTCCTCTTCTTCCATTTTCCATTAAGCTTTGCGGAAACATTAACAGATGGCATGACTAACTTGGATGGAGTTAGGAATGTTAACTTCTGCTAAAGTTGCAGTCACAATTAAAGGGATAGTTCACCCAAAGTGTGAAAATCATTTCTTTTATTTACTTGTTCCAAACCAGTTTGAGTTTTAAAGGTGTTTTAAAGGATGTTGGAAACCTTTAACCATTGACATCCATGCTTTTTGTTTTTCTGACTATTGATGTCAGTGGTTACCGGTTTCCAACATTCTTCAAAACATCTTTTGTGTTCAACATTAACTGCTTTGGAACGAGACAAGGATGAGTAAATGATAGAATAATGAATTATTTTTCGATGAACTATCCTCTTAATATTGTTCAGTAAATTTTTGCAGGCAAAATTCAATCATTTCAATCCTCATGAAATATTAGGTGGATTTCACAACAGATTCACCTTGTTGAACAACAGTTCGATGATTTGACAAGTGACATGATTTGACTCCTAGTAAGTGGTGCTTCACACATCACTACCCTGTGGACTTTTTTACCTGCGAAATTTGGCGAATGTGACTGCACCTTAATTCTGTCTCACAAATGTAAGGTTTGGTGGCTTCAAAAAAAGGACAGACCTCTTAAAACTCTTTAAAAGATATGTAAATATATGAATGTCTGTGTTTTCAGTTTTAACAGTAAGACATATTCTATCGGTTCATTTGCATTTTCAAAAGAAACGTTTACTTTTTAAGCGCTTGCAGAGAAATCCAACGGTTTTGAAGCTCTATGAGTCCTCCATGTAAATGCTCCGCAATGTTGGGCAGCGTTCTTTTAAATGCGTTTTCAATCAGAGCAAGTTTTTAGTGCGATTTTTATGGGATACAAATGGGATATGAATGATGAATCCGGTTGTAAATGAACTTTCCATGGAAGTTCCACAATTCCAATCTTTTTATTACGGGAAACTGCAATCTCTCCAAACACTACAAAACACTTTTTTTTTTCTTAAAAGCGATAGTTCACCCAGAAATAAAACATCAGATATCCTGAAGAATGATAGAAACCAGCAGCTTTTGACATCCTAGAAACAAATATACAATGGAAGTGGATGGTTGCTGCTTTCCCAACATTCTCAAAATCTCTTCCTTTGTGTTCAAAAGAAAAACGAAACTAAAACAGGGTTGTGGCAAGTGAAGGGTAAGGAAATAATGGCAGTTTTAAATTTTGGGTGAACTACTCTTTTAAGTGTGGTCCTTAATTTTCTTATAGGTACAGACTATGCTTTCCTCTTTGAGTGTCATTACATTTCTAATGCGAACAAGTCATTTGCATTCGAACATGATACAGATGAGCTAGTAAGTGCATGCTTGAGTTGTACCTGCGTATAAACCCATTAAATGTTCTAATCATTTATCACTCGAAAGCACTTGTCAGCCACTGCACTATAGGCAGTACATCGAAGCCTGTTAAAAGCTAGACGTCTTCTGGGGTGATGCAGTGATACAAGCAGGCAATGAATTGTTGACAGCCAGTTAAGTTTTCCTCTGTTTACCCTTCAGGTTTAGCCATTTTGATTGTTTTTATCATCACATGCTTCATACCTCACACACGTTCTGCCCTGCTTTTCCCTTCCCTCAGTATTTTATCACACCGTTTCACTTATGGCCTTGTCTAATTCAACATTTTCCATCCTTCATGCAGTGTTGCTTGTTCCTCATGTGAGGCAGTAGGACTTCCGAATGAATGATCTTGAATGTAGTTGTACCTTGCGTCTTTCCAAGGTACACTTTTTCGTTTTTTTTTTTTCTTCCTCGATGTACAATAGATGTCTGCTTATGTTTCCGGATTAAAACAAAGACTAAATCTGTTATTCGACAACTGTCCTCAATGTTATTGTTTTCTTGTATACTAAAATATCCCTTTATTTTGTCTGTATGTTGTGAGGATGTGCGTATGCTATGTTTGAAGTGTGAATTGTATGTGTGTGTGTTTTGCTGAATGGATCAGAATGGTTCTTGAGCTGATGTGGGGGATCGTTGGCCATGAAGTTTAGATATTTAATGATGAAACATTGACATCATTGAGCTATGATGACTATGTATTATGTTATAATGTGATGCTAAAACAGAAGAATATGTATTCTGTTACTATGTAATAAAATAAAACACATGATTTTTTTCTTCTCTGCTCCCTAACAGTGGATTGATAGACGTGGGTTGTTGTTACTATAGGAAACGAATAGGGTTTGCAGGAAGAAAAAAATGAGCAGTGAAATCTACACGGCTAGTCAAAAGGCTGAATTCAGAAAGAGATTTTTACATTTTAATTATGAGTTTGGTGTCATAAAGGATGCATCATATTGATCAAAAGTGGTTAATAATAATGCAAAAACACTCGATTTCAAATATCAGAAAGCTTCATATTATGAAATGACCTGAAATCACACACAATAGCATTAAGAATAGAATTAAATATAAATCAGTGCTTTTAATTTGTAGAATTGTTTTATTTTAAATCCAATTTGCCAGTTATGTTTAAGCACCACATGAACTGATTTTAAGTCTGAATTTAATAGGGTATATATTGGATTAAACAAACTGATTATGCCAAAATTGGTAAAATACCTGTAGGAATAAAATTTTAACATCTACACCTATGCATAATATTGTTTTGCCACTTAAAATGCTTGCCTTTTAAAAGTACCATCTCGGAAATAAAAGTACGTAAGCTGTCACTTGGGTGGTAAAGGTTACCATTTGTACTTAAAAGGTCAATATTGGTACCTCAGAAGTATATATTAGTACCTAAAAAATTAAGAGGAACACTTTTGTACTTTTTAGGTACTAATATGTACCCTTGAGGTAATAATATGGACCTTTTATGTACAAATTTGTACCATTTGAAAAGGTACCACCCCAGTGACAGCTCGCCTACCTTTATTTCTGAGAGTGTAGGATGGATTCTGATTGGCTGTTAATGTTTTTTTTGTTTTTTTTTTATCTCTGATTTAAACTATTGTTTCTTTGTGCTGTTATTGTTATAGTTGTAATTTAGACTTAAAGTTTCTAAAGCATGCTTGCAGGGAAACTGAGTTCTGTTGCATTATCGTTACAGCATTTTAGATTATGTTTAATGCTTTCATTATTGGCACTCTAAAAATGCCCTTATTAAAGAAAAAAAGCATTAAACATGAAATTTAATTGAAAAAAAATGTACATGCGAAAAAAATGATCAGGCCTAATTATGCGAACGGGCCTTAACAGTGGATTATATTTAATCATATACAAGGATGAAAAAGTTAAACAAACATTAAGATAAGGATACAGAACAATCAGAGATGCAATTTCGCTGGATTTACTTGATTAAGTAGTTTTTACTAAATTTAATATAAAGTACTTGGATTTATACACACACATCGGTTAAAATAAGTATTGAGCACATGACCATTTTTCTCAGAAAACATTCAGTTAAAATCAGAATTTTTAAACCCCCTTTGAAATTGATTTTCTTTTTTAAATATTCGCTAAATGATGTTAAATGGAGCAAGGACGTTTTTACAGAATGTCTGATAATATTTTTCTTCTGGAGAAAGTCTTATTTGTCTTATTTCGACTAGAATTAAAGTATTTTTTAAAAAATTTAATTTTAAAGTCAAAATTATTAGTCCCATAAGCTATATATTTTTGATAGTCTACAGAACAAACCATCATTATACAATAACTTGCCTAATTACCCTAGTTAAACCTTTAAATGTCACTTTAAGCTGTATAGAAGTATTTTGAACAATATCTAGTCAAATATTATTTACTGTCATCATGACAAAGATAAAATAAATCAGTTATTAGAAATGAGTTATTAAAACTAATATGTTTAGAAAACAGAAATTGGGGGAAAAAATAAACGGGTGCTAATAATTCAGGGAGTTTAATAATTCTTATTTATTCTGTATTTCTTTGAAATTTTCACCAGATGTCAGCAACAACCAAAGTTATCCACAAATGAAAAGAAACCAAAACTAATTACTTAAGAAATTAAGTTATGTGTAATTACTTGAAATGAGAGAGGGAAAACATAATAAACACATGCAGAAAGGGAGGCGTAAAAAGGCACGGAAAGCCCAAATTAAATCTTTCCAAGACTTTTGGAGTCTTGGCAAAAAATCACACCTGAGCAACAGATAAGACAAAATAGTCCATTATACAAAATATTAAATGCATTTAAATAGTTCAGTACTTTCTCCATGTGTCGTTCCATTGTTATTACACATAACTATTATATTTATTTTAGTTTATTTATTTGGATTGTTTTGGTTTTTTTAAAATTTGCATCAATGTCAACGGCTTTTTTAGAATTAAATGTACCAGGTGTTTTAATCAAACACCTAACTATAAATCATCAATTCAGAAAAACCCATTTTCCATAGCTGTAAATTCTTAAGTTTAAACATTAAATACATAGTTAAATACTTATGAATGCCACTTTTAACCCTGAACCAACATGGTGCCAAAGGTGGGACCTAAACATTGTTAATTATAAAATCTGATTGAATACCGAACCAATAAAATACTTTAAAATGTCAAATTCATAAATAACAATAACAAAATAGCCCAAATAAATACGCTTAAACATTTAATTGATATTTTCAATTAAGCCTACACTAAAAAAATGCTGTTTGTTTAAACAACTTATTTAAAATGAGCTGAAACAACACAATTCATTAGGTTGTTTTGAGACAACTCAATTGCTTTATGTTCAATCCACTTAAATTTGTAAAAACTAACAAGTTTTAATAATTCATTCATGTTGACCCAACACAAATCAATTGTGTGGAACCCTGCATTTTTTGCAGTGTATTCAATTTTACCCACAGTAATAATTACACAAATAAATACCAGAAGGAGTCCATTGAGGTCCATCCATACCATATGAGGGCGTATTGGCATTCAGAGAAAGTCCAGGCGGGGTCTGCCTCTGATGACGGAACGCGCGCGGATTCGCCTGTGCGTTTGCACGAGCAATAATGCGACGGATCACCAGGATGGCAGAAGCGCGTGCCCGGGCCAGTGCGCGCGCCTGAGGGTGACCCATCATCAATAGGAACTATGTTGCCTCCATCAAACACCGCATCCCTGCGCCTGTGGCCCGCAAACCCCCGCTGAAGCGCGAGTATGCCCACAGCTCGCCCGCGCTGCTGGAAGCTCCACA